GCCGCCCCCTGCCGGGCCCCATCCCACACCCAGCCCCAGTCTCCCAGCACTTAAAAAAAATAAATAAAAAGCCCTGTACTCACTGGCTCTGGCAGCAGTGACTGGGGCCTCTGAGGGCCCTCCCATGCAACACAGTACAATGGAGATCAACCCCCGCACCTGGCACCCATGTGGCAGCTGCCCCATGGCGCAGGTGCAGCATGGCAGAGTGCTGCGTGCTGCCTGGAAGCTGGGCCAGCTCCAGCACTCACCTGGAGCTGCTGGTTTGATCCCCAGCTCTCTGATCATGCCCCCAGATCTGCGCTCAGGTTTCAGCTGGCTGGTGCTGTTGCCGGCTGGGGAAATAGCCCAGAGCCACCATCATCCCCAGCTGGCTGCGGCACCTGCTGTCGTCCCACATCATCCAGGGGCCTGCGCCCCCCAGGAAGAGCTGGGGGAAGCGACCAGAGAGCTGGGGGAAAGATCGGGGAGCTGGGAAATTGAACCAGGAACTGGGGGAAAGTTTAGGAACCTGAACACATTCCCCATCCCCCTGTTCAATTCCCCAGCTCTCTGTTCACTTCCCCCAGCTCTCTGATCATTCCCCCAGGTTTCCTTGGGTGCACGTGTCCCAGGGAGGAGCTGGGGGAAGTGATCAGAGATCTGGGGAATTGAAGCCGGAGCTAGATGTCAATATCAGAGCAGTCCTTACGGGCTCTTCTCCCTGCCTCTCCTTAGTTTCTGTTTAGCTGCAAGCTAGCCCAGCTTCAAAACTCAAAATGTTTTGAAACTTTCGAAATGTTTTGAGTGCCCTCGCTTTGTTTGGAAACTGTTTTGAAGCCTTTTGTTTCATTTTGATTTTGCTGTTTCGAGTTCAAAATGCATCAAAACAGCTTCAAAATGAAACAAAGTTTGGAATTTTGCACAGCCCTAGTAATTATGCATCTGAAAGGGGTAATAGAATCACTCTTACATTTTAATCTGGGAGCTCTCAGTTGGTTACAAGTCACATTTTGGTCATCCAGTAGGCAGAATAAACTTCTGCCCCCTGTATCCATATTTATCCTGCAGTAGCAAATTGCTCAATGCAAACTGGCTATTACCTAATTCCTCTTTCACCTAGGGGTAACATAATATAATAAAACCTAACAGGTTGGCCACCCCAGGATAACAGGTTTTGTCTCCAGGCCCCAGTGGGCTATGTATTGGTGAACAACACTGCTATAGATAATACAAGCATGTGTGTCAAATGTCCACAGTTTCTCAACTTCTATTGGTTATTTCACGTCTGTAGGACTATAAACATAGCATAGATTTTAAGCTACCGAAGTCCTTTCCCAGCATGAAATGTGTTCAGTCTGAAACCAAAGATGGAGGGGTGTAACAGAAAGCCCGAGACTCTCGTTAGTCAAAGGTTAGTCTTTGACTCTCTCACAGGGTGATGTTCCCTCTCCCCATTCTTTGGTGGTACCATACTATCAGTCCCATTCTTAACAACCCTCATCTACATGATTTGAAGGAAAAAGGGTAGCAGGCCTATCTAGACTGTTCCCAGCCTGAAAGTAGAGAGTAGAGCAGGGGTTATCAACATTTTTGGCTGGAGTGCTCAAATCACCCCAACCTCCACCCATGCCTCGACTTGGGTATAAGGGGCCCAATTTTCATTGCTGGTGGTGGTTGCACGAATGCCTCCAGGCTTCAAGCCACATGTGCACCCACCACCACCACAGAGCCAGTGCCAGGGCTGCAGAGTCCAGTGCAGCTGTTTGCTGCCTACCAACTGCCTGCCACAGCCTGCCTGGGCTCTAGCAGGCAGCCAAGAGGCTGCAAACAGCTGTCCTAGGGTCTGTAGCCCTGGCACTGTCTCCGTGGCAACTGCGCATGCGCCTCTGGGCAAATGGCAGAATAGGAGCTAGGGTTGCGTTGTTCCAGCCCCTTCCCTACCATGCACTGTGAGCCATGTACGCATCTGTCGCCCCTGCCACAGAGCAGGTGCCGGGGCTCTGAAGCCCAGTGCAGCCCTTCGCAGCCTCTCAGCTGCCTTCCACAACTTGCCCAGTCTCAGGGCAGCTGTAGCAGGTGGCTGGAAGGCTGCAAACAGTTGTGCCAGCCTCCACAGTCCCAGCACCAACTCCATGGAGGTGGCAGCTGTACACGTGCCTCCGGGCAGATGGCATGGGAGGAAGCAGGGTTAGGCTGCCCTAGGCCCCTTCCTGGCCATGCGCCCATTGGTACGAGCACAGGTGCCACAGCCATGGAACTGGTGCTGGGGCTGCAGAGCCCCACGCTGCTGTTTGCAGCTTCCCAGCTGCAGCCAGCCTCAGCTCTGGGCAGCTGTTGGCAGAAGCTGCCCAGTCTGGGTTGGCTTTAGCGTGTCGAGGAAAATGGTCTTGCATGCCATGCATTGCCAATCTGTGGTGTAGAGCCTCTGTGTTGGAAAGCGTGCTCTCTTCAAAGGCTTGAGTAGAAACCCATTGTTACTGAGGTATAAAACATTAAAGCAAGACAATAAAATCAAATGAAGCATCAGAAATTTTTATTTTACTCAACAAAAGCTTAGTTTTGCCAATGCAGATAAGAACAAATAAAATGGGAGTAGATACAGTATATTATCATATACTACATTGCTATTTAACTAGATGAAGAAAAGCAAGCTGCTGGTATGACTTAAAATACCTCAATCACTCAGATCAAAGAATGGACTCCTCCCATAGCTGGTCATCCATCGCAAGGCAAGGAGATTCACTAGGCAGAGAAATCTGGAGCCGGTTCATTGTTAGCCCACCCAGCTGTGGACCTCACATTCTTTGGAGGGGTCAGTTTTCTCCACTACTTTGAAGCTGCAGGCATCCTTATTGAAAATCTTTTCACACTTATCTGTATCATAGCCGACAGGGGAATGAGCACTGTGAAGGTGGGGAAAAAATGCAAGCATCACCATCAAAAGCATGCTGCAAAATATTTCAGCTAATCAATTATTCTAGAAATACACACATTCTCACTGTTTAATTTTCATCGTCATTGCTTGATTGGTCACACTAACCTAGTTGCGTTCCCCTCCTCACCCCCATCCCCCTAATGTTAGTCCCTTGCTTGGGCGATATGTATTTCCCTACCGGCTTTGTCATCTTTTTTGGATTCACAATCCTAAATATCTACTAATAAAAAAGTCAATCTGTTCTCTAATGCATGGGTGTCAGTATAGCCAAGTAGAGAGGTATAGTCAAGCTTCTTGGAGCTTTCTCTTGGAGAGATGGAGTAGCTTGTGGATTTAGAGGGTCTTATCTGGGAATTATTAGCTAGCTTTTGAATGTTATTGCTTCCCCCTTCTAGGTCAGTCACATAACATGCCTAAGGCAGTGCTGCTGGAAAGAAAGGAAATCACTTTCCAAAGATTTTAAACTTGTCTCTCAAATCTAGAAGCTGTAGTTTTGGAATGTAAGCAAATTTAACAAAGAGCATTTCAATGCTTGGCATTGTGATAGGTAGTACCACAATGTACGGCTCTCTTTCTCTCCCTGCATGCAAAGCCTGGACTACATAAGTAAAGAAGTACATAGCCTTTTATTGTATTTATCCTCACAATGTTTCTGTGAGTTATGGCAGTACTGGTATCCCCATTTCATAGATGGAAAACTGGCACAGAGAAACTAGGTGACTTGATCACAAAAGTTGGGGAAATAAGTTAAACATAAACCAGTTTAAGTGATCAGAAACTGGTTTAAAGCTGTAACAGAAGCTCAGTGCAGATAAAGCAGTTTCAAAATGGCTGAAACCAGTTTGACCCAAATCAGTTAGGTCTGATACTACATTCAACCAGGTTTATCTAAACTTGGTTGAATGTAATATCAGACTTAACTGATCTGAGTCATACCGGTTTATGAAACCTCTGTCCCTGGCCCCTTCCTGGTTCAAGTTAAATCGCAGTCCCCCAGCATGCTTTGCAGCCCTGGGTTGTGCTGTCCAGAGAGCAGGGCTGGCCCTGCCCCTCCACTCCCTAGCTGAAGCAGTGAGAGCTGACTGACAAGGGAGAGGGGGGCAAGCTCTGCTGGGGAAGTAGCCCAGCCTACGGGGAATGACTACCCCCCTCCTGCAAAGCAAACCGTGGGGGGCTTGGGGCCAGGGAGGGGGGTAAACTGAATCTAAGGTAAATGCCTGTTCACTTCTGTTTCAATTTATTCTGTGCATCTTAGACTAACCTGAGATCTTTTGATGGAGTTGTGAATTTAGGAGTATGATTATTCATAATGGATGGGGAGAGTGTGGCTGTGACTTTTTTTATACTGCAAATACTGAATTTGGTGAACTTACATGGAGCAACAGAGTATCGCCCTCTGTCTGCAGCTACAGGTGTGGCAATCCTCACTCTGCCAGGTGGTACCAAACTCATACAGCTTGCCACTTTGAACACAACCTGCACACACACAATAAAAATAAATCCTTTCCCTTGAACTTCAACATATGCATATATCTATACACGCACATCAACACAAATCATGGGAATGATCTCTGGGCAGATGAGGGTAATATTCAAAATTTTTCACTCTTGTGGCAATCTGAATTCATTTTTACCCTATATGCTTTCTTGAGGACACAACCTTGCTCTTTTTTCATTTACTGTGTCCACAACAAATCTTCTGTAAAAGTGAGCAGTAACATAACCACAGTCAGATCTTGTCATCTTCATGCATTCAAATCTGTTATCCTTTCCAGAGGAGCTCCACATGAAAAATATCATCTATGTTCCTCCCTCTTCTCAATTCTGTGATATTTTGGGGAACGCACATGTGTAGAATTGCTGTGCTGGGGTGTCTTCCTCTAACGAACATTAACCTTCCTGTCATCATCCCTAAATTAATCTTGTGACATCTAGTGAGGATTGTAAACCTGTAGCTCTTGGATTCCATGGAAATGTAGCACTGCGCACAGACTCCAGTTAGCCTGGATGTTCTCGCTGCACAGAATCAGAACATATATCAGCTACTTGTTTGAGAACGGTAGCCTCTGGAAGGCAAATGTCTGTGATACCGCCTGTGTTCTCTTCCCTAAATGGGAAGTTGCTGTGTGTCAGCCTCTCCCATTGGGAAGCAGCTGATGTGTCGGCATCTCCCATTTTCCTGTTTCATACCCTACTTGGCTATTCCCAGCAGAGATCAAAGACTAATTCAGAACCAATATTTGTGGTTCTTACCTTCGGTAGATTCCTTTTGGTTATTTAGCTGAAAAAAGCAATATGCATCACAGACTGTCACCAAGATGCCAATGGCAAGAAAGAAACCCAGGAACCACTTCTGTAAGAGAGAAAAGGCCCATGGTCAGAATTAGGCACCTTCTCAGTTGTTAGCAACTAAATCCCATTATTATATCCAAACTAACCAGGAAAAATCTTCATTTGTGTGTAAAAATTCCAAAGGGAAGCTGTTCCGGAAAGCAGTACAAATAGTTCTTAGTCTTCATGATTTTTTTGTGGTAAAGGTGGGATAGATAGAACTAGTATAAGCTGCCATAAGAGATTTCACAAAGTATTGCACTGAAATGATTCCCAGCTAGTGTGGGAATGTGAAGGGGTGGGAGGGCTGGAAATGTTCTGCTTGTCTGTCTTGGGGAATGGGATGATGATCAGATGGCCATTCTTTGTAATGCCAGGGAACCCTTTAGGGCCTATTATGCATTAGTCACTGAGTTGCTGGCCCTTTAAGTAAAGTAGGTCCATGTACCCTGGGACAGAACAGTGGGTGTGATTAGAAAGGTAAGGTGGCACTTAGAACTAATAAAGGGAGAAACAAAGCATGAAGGGCAATTAGATGGCTGCAAGAGTTTCCTGGACGGGCAGCTAGCAGAGGACCTGAGAAGAGTTGCTGGAGTCTCCTGGACAAGGCTGAAAGCAGCAGAGGTAGGTGTCTGTGGACCTTCCCAAGTTGACGAACCAGGACTAGAGAAACCGAGAGCAGTAGAAGGGCCACCTTCTTGACTTCCCTGTGCTCAAGAAGCAGACTGGGAAAGCTGGAGCAGGTTTGGGACAGGAGAGAAACAGAAGTGTTTGTTCTCTGGCTTCTTCCAAGCTGGAGAGTTTGAACTACAGGGCCACAAAACCCTGAGAGCTGAGGAGTGGGGTTTACCTCCTGACTTCTCAAAGATGGAAGACCAGGGAGAGCCACTGAGGAGCTTTTCTTCTGAGGACAAAGAAGATAGCTCCCAAGTGGAAAGCCAGGAGACTTCCTGTTAAGAAGAACAGGGAAGGACTCCAGTGGAACGGACTGGGGTGGTTGATTAACACAAGGCACTGAGGAGTGACAAAGGATACTTGCATCTGGGCTAGTTATCTGAAGACATGGTGTTTGGGGCTTGGAAAGACTATGTTCACAGTGGATCACCATGGCCTTTGTGTTGGGATTTTAAGCACTCAGAAAGTCAGCTGCCCCATGAAAGCTAAACAGGGGAATCCCTGAGGGGCTGATGTTAGAGAGAGACAGCACTTCTGCCATATCATCTAGCTGTGAAGAGTTGTACTGATTAGAGTAGTACACATCTGTACAGCTGTTCCCCTTCTAATGAGGGTATGGACTGGCAGGAGAAAAGCTTGTGCCTTTGGTTGGGGTGATGGAGGCTTATTCTTAGTGTGCGGCATTTTCTTAATACTTGAGGATCCGACCATAAGTGTGTTTCAGAATCTAACAGCCAGGTGGGAAAAACTGGAGAGGTGTTCTCAGGGCTTGAGGGGCCCGCTCCTGCATGGGAATTCCCAGGGCTTGCAGGATCAGGTGCCTCAAGCCCCTGCCCCAGGACAGCTGGAGAATGGGGCAGCTCCAGGCTGCCAGCACTCTCAGGTCATAAAATAAACAGATATATGATGCCATATAGCAGCATCAGTTGATACCACTTTTGTTGCAACCACAAGTTTTGGCAATTATGTCCATATGCCTTGTGCCACCTGCTTGCTTGCTTGGTCTTGTGCTGCAATTGAAAGTCAACATCTATCTTTACCCTCTGTTGACGGTGAGTGGGAATCACAGTACCTTGATTCCTCCTCGGCTTAGTTTGGTTACTTGCTCCACAACTTGTTGGTGTCAGTCTCCTCCAGACAGGTCTCTCTCTTTAGGTTTAGATGTTCCAGTTTAGTCTGCAGTCATCATCTTCCTTCTCCCCTTTCTCATACTCCTCTCGTTGCGGCCTCTGATTCCTCTATCATGAGGATCTATGTTCAGTGGTTCTCCCTGGGTTGGCTGGTTTTGCCTGGCAAAATCTCTCCCCACCTTTCCCCAAGACTCTTAAACTAAATAGCTTTATAGGGTCCAGGTGTATGGATTAGGACCCAATTAGCCCAAAAATCTCAAGGACAAAGTCAGAACTTACTAATAAGACAGATAAGTGGAGGTGCATAAACGTGGCAAGCAAAACAGGTAGAAATGAATATCTCAACAAAGAGAAAGATAAGCGTTGGTACAAGATGAGTGTGGGGGCAACACACGTATAAATACAGGAGTTTGGGGACCTGTCCCTCGGAGACCTAGGGGGGAGCATGAATAATGTATACGGTGTCTCTACTTGTCAAGGTGAAACTTCACTAATGTGATAGCAACCAGAAACCACTTAAGAAAATACTCCAAATGTGTCCGAACAAGACAGCTCTTAGTCTGCTGACAGATGTGGGCATGGAATGTGCTTTACCAGAAGAGGCAGCACTTTCGTTTGACCCAGCTCTGCAGCGTCTGTATAGGTCAGGCACTTCAGCTGGGCCTTTTGGCAATTTTATCTAAAGCTGATTCAATCAGCTATTAACTAAAAGTGCCAAAAAAGCCCCACTACAGCACCTAATCTTAACAGACATTGGGTGAGCCAGGTCCAACTAATTCATTGCCTTTTCTGAGTATGTGCTGGGTTCAGTACAGGAACACATGAACTTTGAAGTAAATCTCCAGTTGTGGTTTTTTTCCATCCCACATCTGCAAGCAGCCATAGTGTTTACTGGAACTGGTCCTTGCTGGGTCTTCACCTGTGTTTTGAGAGGAGATGTCCTGGGTCTCTGATCCTGTCTGTGCTGCTGTCCTTCCTGGGTTTTGCAAGTCAAAGAGATCCTGGCTCTCTATGGCTATCTCCTCCTGCTTGTAATTTTGGTTGGTGGCTGCAAGTGTTGTCAGTGCTCTGCAGAACATGCCAGGGTTTCATGATTGCCTCTTGCAACAGTCTCAGTCAGCAAATCATAGAAGGTACAGACCTTGACAGCTCTACCAAGGAGCTTGTGGTTGCTGCTGGTATCTTTATAGTTCTGACAGAATTTATTGCAGCATTTGACCATGTCCAGGGAGTGCTTCTTCTCCTTCATTAGAGTCAGATAGCTAGTTGTGCTTGACTTTCCAGTGGGTGCTGTCTGGATGGGCTAATAGGGCACTTGTAGATGACACTTTAAAGCAGGTTTAAAGTGATGAAATCATCAGCAAAGCTAACCGGATTTTATCATACATCAGCAAATGCATGACAAATAGATCCAAGGAGGTGATACTTCCCCTCTATGCAGCACTGGTCAGACCCAGTTGGAGTACTGAGTCCAGTTTTGGGTGCCATACTTCAAGAAGGATGTTGATAGACTTGAGAGGGTCCAGAGCGGGGCCACTCGTATGGTTAGGGGCTTACCCAACAAGCCCTATGAGGAGAGAATGAGGGACTGAACCTCTTCAGCCTCCACAAGAGAAGACTGAGAGGTGATCTTGTGGCCGCCTACAAATTCATTAGCAGACACAGAAAGGAATTGGAAATGCTCTGTTGATCAGGGCGCCGCTTGAGGTAACAAGAAACAATGGTCACAAACTGACAGAGAGCAGATTTAGGCTAGATATCAGGAAAAACTTCATGGTGAGGGTGGCCAAAATTTGGAATGGGTTTCCAAGGGAGGTGGTGCTCTCCCCTACTTTGGGGGTCTTTAAGAGAAGGCTGGATAGGCATGTGGCTGGGGTCATCTGACCCCAGCGCTCTTTCCTACCTAAGCAGGGGGGCAGACTCGATGATCTGTTGAGGTCCCTTCTGACCCTAACATCTATGAATCTGTGGGTTAAATGTCTTTTGCACCACCTTAATGGCATTGCTGTTTGCACATTCGATGATGTATTGTGCATTAATTCCAGCCGCTGTAGCACATTCAGCAGGGGACCCGGGACTGCCTGAGCCAGGTGCCTGAGGGCCTTTCTCCAGAGATTGAGGAAATCCAGGTCCTCCTCCCCCTCCCCCCCAGGGCTGCATGGAGCTATGGACAGTCACAGCTGTATAATCATTGTGTAACTCAGGCTGTGTGAATTAGCCATGAGTTGAAATTCTAAAGCAAGATGCCTGGCTGAGTACTGGCACTTAAACAGGGAGATGATGCCTAGTCAAAAGGAACCTGATGCAGTAGGGGGGCACACAGGTAAGAGAGGCTGTCCCAGTGTCTGGTTGTGTGACGAGAACAGTGTGATATGAGCGGAAGGGTTGCCTGATGTGGTATGCTTTTCAAAATGGAAGTTATTATTTGTATTACCTTGGCAGCAAGAGCCACAGTCAGGGACCAGCATACCATTGTATAAATGCAGCCCAAACCCCACAAACTCTACAAAGATAGCAGCTCTGCCCCAGGGAGCTTAAAAGCTAAATGGGTGAAGCTTGATGCCCAGTATGTGACGTAACAGATTCTGAATTTGATTTGATTCATTCTGGATGAGATACAAAATAATTACTTGGGGGAAGATGGTATGTGGGTATGAGGCAGTTTCTTGTGAAAATCTCAACCTGAAATTTAAAGTGTAGATAAGTTCTCATAGGATTTAAAGCTTCTGTGTAGCAAAAATATGACTGAATCATAACCTTTCATTTATAAATTAATTTATAAATCTACATTCATCACAGAAACTACAACCTCTTCTCTAAAACTTATGCTCTTCATGCAGTTATAAGAATCTGCCCTGGTTATTTTTATCACTGCTGTTGACTTGTACAGGCATACAGAAAAGCAGAATTTGTTCCCTGTCCCTTGCATCTATCTGGTTTAACAACCTCATCCTAAAGTTGAGAGCTAGAAGAGGATATCTCCTGGTACATGAGAAGATGAATAAAGGCACTCAATGAATGTTTGTGTTTTCCATGTTCATCTTCTTAGAGCATGGTTCAAAATACCTACAGAAGTTGAAATATTTTTATAAAGTTAACTTTTCCCAGAACAGATCAATCAATAGGCAGAAAATCTGGGGCAGGGGTCGGCAACATTTTTGAGCAGAGTGCCAAAAACACCCACAGCCTCAACCTGTAAGATGTTGGCATGCCAGGGGCAGATGGTGGGGGAGCCGCAAGGGGCCTGATCTTTGTTGTGGCAGTGCAGCCTCAGCTCCTTCCCTGCCATCCACCCAGAGGTGCACATGCCAAGCAAAATGCCTTTGCATGCCATGTTCTGGCATGTATGCCAGGGGTTGCCAACCCCTGATCTAGGGCTTTACTTGTGCAGCTCCTTGCAAGCAATTTAAACAAATGAATTCATGTGTAGTTAGATAAAACTCTATTCCCCTCCAATACCAGTTTTTGAACGAAGTAGCCAGGTGAGCTATGAACTTCTAAAGTCTGAAATTCTGACTTACCATGGTAAAATGTGTTGCTTCTGAAGAGCTCACAGCCTGACCGTTTCCAGCAGTGATACACACAAAATGAGAAGACAAGAATTTTGCAACTCCTTATATTGAGCAACTTGAGCCCGCTTATTTCTGGAACAGCTATGCTGGAATTTCTGAAGAATCTATTGAAATTCAGCCAACTGGCAAAAAGAAACCTTGGCTCTGCAAGGCACAAAAATGAAGTGAAAGGCTAATTTGGAATCTTTCTGGTCCCTGCCTTCACCCCACAATTACAACAGGCACCTTATCTGGTGATGTGCAAGTTGAGACCTGCCTTCAGGGAAAACTGGCATACAAAAAAGGAAGACAGAGTACATTCCTTAAGAATACATTCCTTCAGAGTACATTCCTTCAAAGTCCAACCTGCGGCATAGTTGCTCAGCATTTCCTGTCTGAAAGGGATGGAATATGTCCTATTAGTGGGGGCATGTAGCTGGAAGTTGGGCAGAGCTATAGTATTCCAGACTGAGGGGAGAAAATTGGAATGTGCATTAATTCGCTGTATCATATAATGTTATATGCATGCACACGCACACAATCTCTCTCTCTCCCCACCCTTCCCATTCCTCCCCTTGCCCTGCAGGAAGCGGGGACCTGCCCACCACTGATGCTGTCCGGGCTGCATCTGTCCTGCTCCAGCCAGGGCCAGCAGTGGTGGTAGATTTCCTTTCGTTGCAGTCACTTCTTGTGTGTTTGCATTTGCTTGTTTTAACCACCAGCCCCTTAGTTTCCTATACCCCCCAACTCCCCAAAAGGTAAGTTCTCCACAACAGTTCCAGTTACCTCATGTAGCATATGTCATGGTGTAACAACAACCAACTGAACAAGCTAGTCCAAAAAAATCATTTTTCAAAGATCAGATTATTGATGAATGGAAAGAACTGGAATGTTATGATGGACATTGAATAAAAAAAAAAAACTTTAACAAATTGCCAAAAAAAGAAAAATCTTCAAAATCTGATGTATAAAATATTGAAAAAAGTACAATTGTTTTAGCAAAAAAAGTTTTCACCCAGAAACCATTGAATAACACTCATTCTAACACTTTAACATTTTTCTGACTTAGTGAAAAAAAAGGGTCTAATTTAACAGGAAATTAAAAAATACTGATTAGAATCCTGTCTGCTTGATAAAGTATTTGGTACAATTACTCACTCTGAAAATTAGATACAGCTTCTTCATATTCTACACTTTTAAATATTCTAGCTTGTACTTGTACAGTATCTCTTTCCTGAACCCTCTCTAGTTTCTCAACATCCTTGTTAAAGTATGGGTAGCTGAATTAAATAAAGTACTACAGGACTGGTATCAGTAATGCTTTATTAAGAGGTAGTAGTACCTCCCCACTTCTATTTAATATTCTCTTATGTATACATCCTAGGATCACACCGTTCCATGGTTTCCACCATGATATAATCCCTTCTCCTATAAATGTAGCATGTGCTGTTGGTGCCTAGCCATATGACTTTTGTACTAAACTTCGTTAAAATGTATCTTGTTCAAGAAAGCTCAGCTCACCATGCCATCCAGATTAGTCTGTAGAACTGACCTATCCATAGGTAGATCCAGGATTTTGAAAAGGGGATATGAGAGTAGTAACCAGGGCTGCAGGAGTGGCTGCACCCTGCACTCCCAGCCTCCTCTCCAACACTGGGATGGGCAGACCGTTCCATGGAAGCAGCAGCTGAAGATTTTTTTTTTAAGTCCCCAGATCAGGTAAAATTCCCTCCTGCCACCAACCCCTCTCTCAGCACTCCCTCCCTTCCCCTTTATGCTCAGCAGTACCTCCCCACCCTTCCCATTCCTCCCCTTGCCCTGCAGGAAGGGCGGACCTGCCTACTACAGATGCTGTCCAGGCTGCATCTGTCCTGCTCCAGCCAGGGCCAGCAGTAGTGGTAGATTCCCTTTCGTTGCAGTCACTTCTTGTGTGTTTTCATTTGCTTGTTTTAACCACCAGCCCCTTAGTTTCCTATACCCCTCCAACTCCCCGAAAGGTAAGTTGTCCAATATGACAATACTCCAAACCATAACATGGACATCAATCCCTTTAACAAGGGATAAAGTTGAAGCAGTTTTGCTATATTTGTATCATTCCCAGCTTGTGCACACCAGCTACTGTCCTTTTGAAACGTTCCCCTTTTTAAATGGCTCCATATGTACCTGGGCCTATAAGGGTATGACTACAACAGGTGTAGACATATCAGGGTTAGATTTAAACTAGCTAGGTCAGGTCCAAAAGTGGTATAGGTGTTACAGTCCAGAGATCAGCAAAGGCAGCAAAACCTGCTGGAGGAGCTAAGTTGTTAGTCCACACTTAGGTCTCTACTATTGTAGCACAGGCATGGGCAAAATAGAGCCCATGGGCCAGATCCAGCCCAGGGGATTTTGTGTGGCCTGAGGCAGGCCCCTCGGTCCTGTCAGGCCCAGGCACAGGGGGCAGCTTGAGCTGTGGTGAGTACAGCCAGTCATGCTGCCCCCAGGTCTGCAGCAGGGTTGGGGCAGTGCAGCGGCTGGACTCACTTCCCAGCAGTCCCCGTAGCAGTGACTCCTTTCAGCTGCTACTGCCAGTCTCTGCCCCTGCTACTGGCCCTGGCCCTGCTGCCCAGGCACCCCAGCATATCTGCTGGGCACACACAGCTGGGGGCGCTGGACGGAGCAGGTGGGCAGGTTCTCTATGGAGACCGGCCCAGGACCCAGGCAAGGGCACACAGCTGGGCAGATGGGATGGGGCCACAGGTGGGTGGGGAGTGGCATCCCAGAGCCAGGTGGGTGGGGCCAGGATTTGGGCTGGGATCTGGGATTGCAGGACAGTGACTATGTGAGGCCGGGGCCTGGGGCAGAGCCATGATCCACTGCCCACACATCCCTGCAATAGGCACCAGTTCCACATTTGGCCACGTGCCACCCCCTGCGCTCAGCATCTGGCCCTGGCCCCTCCTCCCCTCTCCATGTCCAGCTACTGGGGGTACACTGATTCAAAAAGGTTGAAAACCCCTGTTCTACACATTAACTTTACTTGTAGGTCTCATGAAGAGATTTTCTAGGCACAAAATATCATCTAAGTCCCCCATGTATGTTATTTGTTGTTGTTTTTTTGCAAGAATAGTTCCCTTTAATAGCTCAATAAGACTTCATCAGCCTTACCAGAAAGGAGTGAAAAAAGGTTGCACTAATGTTAGATGGCTGTAGTCCTTTCAAAGGAAAGGGGACAACTATGTTCTTGCAGACTTAGGTATGGAGTCTGCACACCCAAGCCAAAAGATTATTTTGCCTCTGGTCCTCCATGTTGAAGAGACTACTGTTTCTATGTTGTGATCCTTGGCTGGGGCTTTCCAAGCCATAGCATGCCTCTGAGCTTGCAAGACACTGCCCTGCTTTTGCTATGAGATTAAATGAATGGCTTTCCTATTTTTTTTTTTTTTTTAATGAATAAGTAGTTGGTGGAAGGAAATACTATAGTAATTGCTCAGCATGGCCAGGAAGGTGTGTGTGTTGTAGGAGGTGGAGGGGGGAGGGAAGAGAATATACTACCAACAATGCCAGGGAGGTGCATTGTTACCAACCTTAAGTGCTCAAAAATCATGAAATAGGCTTAAAAATCATGAGACTTGAAAACTAATTTAGGGTTTTTTTATTTGACTTTTTCTGGTTTTCAGTCTTTGAGGTGTTTCCTAGCTTTCCTTTTTAACCAGGATGCTTATTTATTCTATTTTTAATATTATTTTTTAAAGTTGCCTTTGCCAGGCAACTGGTAACAGGACTGTTTTTTAGAAGATAGGGCTAGCACTTCGGACGCAATTCTGTGTCACCACGTGGATGACCAAAATGTAGCATGCAACCAACTCAAAGTTACCTGACTAATGTGCCAGAATGATTCTGTTACCCTGTAGCCTAGCACAACATACATTGTCTTGGAGAACAGTCAGCTACATCTGTACAAAGTAACTGATTTGATGATGTACAAAGTAACTGATTTCATGGGCTGAGCACAGCACTGACCTTCAGAAAGCTGCTTCACGCCTAGATTCAATCCCAACTCATTGAGCCCTTCTAAGTATGCTGCAGGGAAAACACCATTAGAGAGGGACTGCTAGTAATTACATGAAGGAAAATACACCAGACTGTTAACTAGCCTATTAGCCTAACTAGCGTAGGTTAAATGGTGCTGTTTTATAGAAATATGTCTTTACCAGAACCTTCCCAACTGTACCAAAATTTATTTAGACGTAAAAATGATTTGAGTCTCTCCTAAAATGTTGCAGATACCAGAAGACTCAGTAATGTCAAGTAGCCGCAGATTTTCATTGTTCAATTTACTTGCATAATTCAGGGTCCGTTTTGTTTAACCAGCAGGAGAGCTAATTTGGGGTCTAACTAATAACCCTAGTGACTTCACAGGGCATGCTGCGGTCCAGTTTCCTGACAACTCGAAAGGAGCATTCTGGCCAGTTGCGAATGGCTATGCAGTTCACCCGATCATAGTTGGTGGGATAAGAAATTCTGCCAATAAAAAGGAAAAAAAAATGTGTAAGTGATGCAAGGGAAGAATAATGCGGTAAAGAAGATAAAGACCATGGAAAGTGTCCACACGGCTGCTGCAGGGTTTGTAGGTGCAGCAGAAAGAATACAGGATATCAGATAGTGGAGATGAACCCTACCCCAGAGACTGTGGTAAATGAATATGGCCCTGTGCTTGGTGATCCAGCCTAAATTTGCAGACCAAATCAGTGACAGAGGCAAGGTAGGGCCCAGGTCACTTCTTCTAACCACTAACATACAGGCTGGATTCTCACAGCTTCTGCTTCAGCTGTTCTAACGTGATGGTCCAGAAACTGAAGATGACATCCCCTGGACTTTATGCTGGTTGGGGAGCAAAATGAATATGAGATTATTTGGAACTAGACTTACGTTTTGCAGCACTGCACTCCAGCTGAGCTACATGTGCACTTTAAGCAGTCCCTGGCCTCCCAGGTGTCCTCAAACTGGTACCGCACTCCATTGTGGTAACAAGCTAAACAGACACAGGGAAAATAATGTTTGATGAAAGAGACACCTGGAGGCAATAAGCCTGCTAAAAGAATTTGATCTTTAGTGACCAACTCCCTGGTTCCTTTGCTTTTTGTCTCCATTCTATTTAATGCGATGAGTGTCTGAGTAACAGCCATGGTGGCTGGGACCTTTATTTAATCTGAGGACTAATACATCTTGGGCAGCAATGGAGCAAACTTCAATCTATGCCGCAGGCATGATCAGGAAGGACAAGTTTCTACAAAGAAGGAAGTTCAGTCTGTGCCTCGTTCAGTTATTGGCCCTTCTGTTGGCCTTGTCAACAAAGCCTGTAGGCCTCTGAATTGTGCTGGGGGGTGGCATGTGAAATTTGGGTGACTGAATGCAAAATGCTGTGCATACCCCAGTGGAGGCCCCAGGGGGTACATGCCCCCTACATCTGTGTACAGGGCAGAGGCAGCTTCTGCTGCAGGTTGGACTCTGCACCCCACTGCCATTGCACCAAGAGCTGCGCGATGCCATGTGCCTACTGCCACCGGGTGGGCAGGGGACAGACACACACGCACACGAACCCCCTTCCCCCCCCCCCCACAGCAGGTAAGCATGTGTGGAAGAAGGAAAGGGCTCAGGGAGGGCAGATCGAGACCCTCACAGTGCAGGAGGGAGTGGGGCAGGGGCAGGGGTGAATGGAGCCCAGGCCAGGCCCTGGGACAATGGGAGCCTAGCGGCACATCCAGGGGCACTGGGGTGGGGGGTGGGCTCCCACTGCTGTGTGCACCACGGTGGGGAGCCAGGGGGGGGGGCACATGTCCCCCCACAATCTGTGCATGGGCCAAGAGCGGGCTGGGCTCTGCTGTGCCTCTTTGCCTTGCTGCCACTGCTTTGAGAGCAGCATGAGGCCTTGTGTGTCCTGCTGCTGGGTGGCTCGCTGATGGGCTGCTACCTGCCCAGCAATGGGACACACATGGCTGTCATGCTGCTCTCGAAGCAAGCAGTGGCAGGGAGGCACAGAGGGTCTGAATGGCAGGGGGGAGGGGAGTGTGTTTCTGTGCCTGCTTCCAGGAGCAGGGCTGGGGAGGGGGCGAGGGCAGCGGCACCCCTCTGCAGGCCACACAGGTGCCACCTGGCTGGTCAGATGTGGGGGTGAGGGGGGAAGCTTGCATGCGGCGATAGTGGCCGGTGGCCAGGCCAGGCAGCACCTGTCCAGCCCACAAAGGGGTGCTGCTGCCCTTGCCCCCACCCCCCACCACCGCCCTGCTCCTGGGAGCAGGCACAGAAACATGCTGTCCCCCACCGCCAGTGAGACCCTCTGTGCCTCACTGCCACTGCTTGCTTTGAGAGTGGCAGCTTCCTTCCTCCTCCCCTAGGTAAGAGGCAAAGTGTGGGAACATGATGCAAGAGATGCTGCCACCACGCCCTAAGGCGTGCTCCATCCCCACCCGCCTGCACGTACCCCCTTTGACCTTTCTAAGTACCCCTAGGGGTACGTGTACCCCCGGTTGACAACCCCTGATCTAGACTGTAACCCTCTGCCCATGTCATGTGCAGTGTTGAACAGCAATCAGATGTCAGTAAGTTGTGTTTATCTGGCCTGGAGTTGCACTGATGACCAAGAAGAGAGAAGCTGCTGTGTTGTGCAGATAGATCAACAGGCTTTGAAACTTGCCCTGATGATCACTATATGTGGGCTTTGTCATTGCAGAATGAATAAGGCAGACAATTGATTTGCCACTCTTACCTGCTGGATTGCCTCGAAGTGGATAGAAAAAGCATTGTGACCTGCATAATGTCACTGAGATACTAAAGGCAAGAATGATACCCAGGAACAGCTTCTGTAAAAGAAAGGCAAACCACACGGCCAAAATCAAGTAATAGCTAGTAACTTCCCCAAAATATTCCTTTTGGATAGAAATTTTATATTCCTGATTTCAGTTCCCAACCTGCTTCTTTTGGAAAGTTTGATTACAATCCTTTCAGGTTTTAGTGTCCACAAATAAAGGCATCAGAATGTCTAGTCTGAAATATTGCTCTTGTCCCTCCCAACCCATCATAACACTAACCAGGCTGCATTTTGAAATACCCTGCATAGCATGCATTTGGGCTTCCAAGGAAGATGAATCTTAGCACACCTCAGATAAATGTTTTTTTTTAATTAGAGACAAACTTGAACCAGAAGCATCAATCCAGGAACTATTCCTTTTGGATTGAACCACCAGCTGGAGTGGTGCATGGGGTTTGGGGCCCAGGGTGGGAATGCACGGCCACAGGGTCCAGGCAGGGAGAGGGATGGGGCTGCAGGTTGATCATTGGAGGGTGAAGGGGAGCTGGCTCCCTGCCACTACATGCGCTCCCAAGGGAGGCATGGGGGCATGTGCCCCCCAGATTTGTTCATGGGGCAGGGGCAAGGGTGGGCTGCCCACTGTGGGCTCAGGCTCCCTGCCCTGCTGCCCTCCCCCGGGACTTCCGCAACCCAGCAGACAGGACCTAGTGCAGCAGGTCAGAGCAGGGCGGTAAGCTTGGTGCCGCCACCACAAGCCCCACACCTCCATGGTGAGCTGCCCCCTGCCCACCCAGCAGCAGCAGGGGTACGGGCACAGAGTTGTGCCCCTCACTGCTGCTGGGCAGGCAGAAAGCATGTCACCATGGTGGCATGGAGCTCCCAGCAGTACCATTGAGTTTCCCTGCCTGGCCTCACTCGCTACACCACGTCCTGCCCACTGAGTTGCAGAGGCCCCAGAGGGAGAGCAGTGGGCAGGGAACACTGACCCTAAAGTGGGGGGCACTGTGGGTGGGGGCTGCACTCCAGCCACGTTACACATTGGGGAGGGGGAGCTGCGCTCTGCACTCCACTCTGCTGCAGCACCACGGGAGGCAACCAGAGTTCAGGCACTGCTGAGGAGGACAGGGGGCTGCGCAGGGGTGATGTGCAGGGGGTGCACGTGCATCCCCTGAGAGCACCTGTGCACACCCTGTCAGGCCGCGCTCTCTGTTTAGCCGATGGGCAGCGGGGGCAGGTGGGAGCACCAGTGCCCCCTCCCCACGAGCACTGGCCCTGGAGTGGAGCCACCAGCAAAAGCAAGCACAGGAGTTCCTGACTCAAGAGGTACCAGAAATGAAACACCAAAACAAAACATCAAAATGTATAGGTATTTAGAATTTATTTTATTATACCAATTAGGGCACTGGTAGGTTTCCAAACTGCTTTAAAATTGTAAATATATCAATAAAATATTGTGTTCAACTGATCCCTATATATAATGGTATTTTATTTTAATCGTGGAAACATGCAATTATGGGGTTTTTAATACGGGTGTGCAAAATGAGCCATATTCGATTCAGATTTGACCCAAATCAGAGACAGTGATTTGATTCATTGATTTGGATCACTGCCCCCAATTCGATTCAGCTGAATCTGAATCTGAAGATTCAGTGCTGATTCAGAGAATCAGCGATTCGGTCATAGACACAGCTTTAAATGTTTTTTCTACATACCTCGAGGTACCAAGAGCAGCTCCTGAACGCTGCAGTGGTGGGGCAAATGAAGCATCCCACAGGAGCGCAAGACGCGCCCCCGTGTGCTTGGCGGTGAATCGGAAGTGGACCGGAACTACTTCCAGTCCCCTTCCAGGTCTATTGCCAAGCGCACCAGGGCCCCCCTCCCCCCGGCATCCCCCCAGCTTAGTGATCAGCCACAGGGGGACCCTGGGTGCCCCCTAGCCCCAGGAGGCAACAGACACCGAGCCGGGGGGCCCTGCTGCACGCTCCCCAGTGGACCTGGAAGTGGACCAGAAGTGCCCCTGGTCCACTTCCAGGTCTGCTGCCAAGTGTGCTGGGGACCCCCCTGCACTTCTGTGGGACACTGCATCTGCCCCAGCATCTCAGCATTCAAGAGCCACCTGCTACCCGGTAGACAAAACATTTAAAGCTGTGTCTATGACCAAATCTCCAAATCTTTCCTAATCTCTCTGAATCAATTCAGAGGGTTCTGATTCAATTCAAAGAGATTAAAGGGTCTCCTGATTTGATTTGGATTTGGAGATTCGGCCACCGCATTGGGCCGGATCTCCACCAAATTGAATCAGTGACCGAAGCTTCTCACAGCCCTAGTTTTTAATCAGCGAATTTGCAGGGGTTTAAAATCAGAGAATTTGCTATTTTTAAACAAAGAAAACTAGGATCCTTGGTTATAATACAAGAGCCGTTGACCACTCAGTAATTTAAAAAGTAATATATTTAAAGCTGGTTAAAGAAGATACATTTACAAAAAAAAGATAACCAATGGAACTCACTACCAGAAGACCTTGAGGCAAAGCTTTTAGTGGGTGTGACTAAAGGATTAGACAGGAGTAATAAGACTATCCAGTGCTTTCCATTAACAAAACTAAACGTACATAAGGGAAATAAGCCATGGAAGTAGGAATGAATACCTGCTAAGTGCTGTACATGAATGGTACTAAGAGGGCTTTTCCTATTCTTTCACTGTTGGGAAAGGTAGCCGGGGTGATACAGCCTAAGGGCTACATAAACAGCACATTATATGAGCTGCATAACGAGTGCCTTAAGCCACTTAAAAGTGTTAACATGCAGCCAGTCCAGGGGTTAAGAGCTCCAGGAGCCACCTAAAATTACTATGTAACAAAGCCTTTGCTTTCAACCTTTTATTCCTTTCACAGATACCTCCAAATAGTCATTCAAATATATGTAATTCAGATGCTATATACTTCCTCCTTTTACAGTGTAAGAGACAGATATTGACTTACCATTTTGAAAGCTTCCTGCCTTGGTGATTGTACAGCCTGAGGACAGTTGTGTTTGCAGTAGATTTATACACCCTGAGAGAACAAGTGTTTTGTAATGCCTAACGCTGCTTCTATTGAAGGTATGTAAATAAGTTAGATAAATATTTGTGTAGAAATCACATGTATTGGTTTAGAAATGGAAACAGTGGTCCTGTTAGGCAAGGGAGTTGATTCAGCAGCTTTTGGATCACTCCCTTAGGCCAGACAAGCACTAAGCATATTACTTAGCTTTAAGCATATGTTCAGTTTGTCTTCAGTGAAACTATTCCATGTGTGTAAAGCCTAAAGAAATGTTAAGCATAAGTTGGAAGCCATCCTGGCCCAGCACATCCATGATAGGTATGTATCAAATACCTTTTTCTAGATGTGCTAGACTAGATTGATTACAAAAGAGAAGCAGACAGAAAACAGTACTCTTCTCCTAGTCCTCCAACTCATGTCAAAGTCCAACAAGACATCATTTCCAAGTATCATTTCTTTCCAAACTTTCATAGCGAATGAAGGAACTTGACAGGTGACCTGGGTTTTTTTCCTGGTTTGGACTCTGACTTGCTATGGAAACTTGGGCAGCTCCCTTACTTACAATTATTTGCATACCTCTGTGAAGCTTAGACTGCAAAGCACTTCAAGGCTTGTAGATGGCAACTGATATTCACTTCCCATATTCTTTCAAACTTGTAACTTTTAGCTTATCCTATATTCATATTCATGTACATATTTGTGAAGACAGAACTAATACATTTTCATAGCCCAGAAGACTGTGAGTCAGCTACATGGGCATTTGCTGGGTGAGAGAAGTAGTGGTGATGGGAGGTTTTTTAAAACTTCCATCAGAAAGGGGAGTTAGCAGGAGAGGTGCTTCAGGCTTCAGGTTCATCTATGATCAATAATAACCTAATCTGTGTTTAACTAAAAGGAAGTGAACCATTCTTTTATTGGTCACTGGACGCATCTACAGGAGATGCTATGTTGTTATGGCAATGTAGTGTTGATGGGCACAAACTGTGACGCTGCCACTATTGCACGGTAGCAACGAGCTACTGCACAGTAGCTCATTGCTACTACACAATAGGGTCAGATATGATCTGTGTTGCGCCTGGACTGCGCAGTACCGGTGGTTACTGTGCAGTCATTTAGTACTTGCTAAAGCAAATACTAAATGACCAGGCAGTAACAACTGCACAGTCAGGCACACATGTAAATGTGCCCGCTGTCTGCTGTCTTTCCTGCACCGAGTCTTGGCCTACTGCTATAAAGGTCCATGTATCTAATAATTACTGATGTGTATGAGAATTTTTAAATGGCATTGCATAATGAAGAACTACTTGTTCATGACGCATAAGCCACATAAAAAAATACAGCTGAAGCTGAATTCCCTCCAGGTAAGCATAGCATTAGACAAATAGGGGGATTCTATCCTATCATCCCTGCCTGAATTATGCAACAAATAGAAGGAAAAGAACACGTAGTGCTAAATAAAATAGAAAGAGGACTCATGTTGACCTTTTGAATGTTCTGGCTGAAAACAGGGCAGTGGGAGAAAGGGAAGCTGTTTCAAGGGCGTCACTTCTGACATCAGACAACATGACTCAACTTGTACTAAGTGTTGTTTATTTAAACATACCAAGAGAGGATACTTTTGGGGTCCTGATAGATCTACAATCCACCTCCTAACCCATTTGCAGATTACACATCAAATCCTGTGCTGTATTATTTGAGTATGTGCAGCACAGGCCAAGAGCTAACTGTATTCAGGCTAACTACATCCCCCTATTTGTCTAATGCCATGCTTACCTGGAGGGAATTCAGCTTTAGCTGTATTTTTTATGTGGCTTATGTGTGTACATGCCTCCAGGTCCTGTCTGGAGCAAAAAGGAAGAGCTCTTAAACCTGTGGGGAGGTGCTGTACAAGCACAACTTGGCAGAACAGCATCATATACAAGGAGCTCATGAAGGAAAATAGCAAACGGCTGTGAGTGGAACAAGAAACAAGCAAAAGATCTCTGGCAAGTGTATGAACAGGTCATGCTGCAGAACAGACTTCCTTCTTAACATACTGCTTCTTTAAAGAGTTCTACGCTATCATGGGCATGGAGTCCTCTGCATGGTTAGATGTCAGGAAAAACTCTCTCACTAGGAGGGTAGTAAAGCACTGGAACATATTACCCAGAGAGGTTGAGGAATCTCCATCCTTGGAGGTTGTTAAAACCCAGCTAGACCAAAGCCTTGCCTGAGACGATCTAGTTGGGGATGGTCCTGCTTGAGCATGGGGTTGGACTAGATGGCCTCCTGAGGTACCTTTTAACCTTAATTTTCTATGATTCTACAAAACCTGGTCCTGACCACTGAAACTTTGGGGGACAATTTGTAGGACCTCAAGGGGAGAACCAGTGAAAAGCATGAAAACCCCAGAAACAAGGAAGAAAGGGATAGCAATCCTAATCCCAAACTGCACTGGAGTCCCTGGCAGATGTTATACTTACAACACAATTAACCAGTTTAACCAGTTTATTGCATGTTAAGCAGTAGCCCAGTCACACATTCACTGTAATAAAATGGAAAATAAGCCATGAATTCATTTAACAAAATATGCATAATAATGTTGCGGTTGGTCTCCATTGCACTTTAAACTGAATGTGTGGCAGGGTCCTTACCATGGAGCCTGATACCAGCTGTATGGTAGTGCTCTGATATCAGCCCTGGTGCTGTCAGTTCCAGCTCCAGGACTGCACCAAGCCAAGTGTGGCACTTGTACAGTCGTGGTACTGGGCCTGACAACCATCTTATTGTCAGTCTCAGCTCTGGGACTGCACCAGAGTGTTGAACGTGTTCCTATGCGGTCCTGGGGCTGGGACTAACAGTAAACTGATTGTTGATCCTAGCCCCAAGACCACATAGGTTCATGGGGCACCAGGCCTTCTAATGCCAGTGCAGTGTAGATTATGATCCTGAGCACAGCGGGAAGTGTGATTGTTAGGACTGGGGAACAGATCCCATTGTGCCAATAAGTGAACCTGTGCCAGGGGCCAGACAGCTAGCTGCTGTTTGACACCCAGTACAATCAAACCAGAGGCTAGATAAAGAAAGTCTAGCAAATGCTAAGTTTCTTCTCCCTCCTCATGCATGCTTCCTCTTCCCCAGCATAGCCCTCCTCCCAGGTGTCAATTCTGCATGCAACAGTAGGGTCTCAAGTGCTGCTTCATTGGCTGACAGCCCCCAGGCAAATAACAGAAAAGGGAAAAAGAGATGCTCTGCCTACTGAATAGCATCTGTTCCTACCAGTCAGAGGTAACATACTGATCACCCCCCTTCCCCTTTAAACCATGGGCTGCAGTCCAGTAAGCACAGCACATCTGCAGGTGTTCCAGGTAAAGGGGCATCATTGGCTGAGATAGGTACTGGGAGTTATTCTTGCTAGGGAGCTAGTAGCGAAGGCCTAACCTTGGGTCTCCTGGCTCATGCCCCTTTGATCCTCCAGGAGACCCTCCAGAAAGTGCTCTAGAAGGAAGTCCCTTTATCTGTGTCTTCAGGATCCTTTAGGGACATGTTGCCTAATCCGGGTGCTAGGGCACCCAATGGTGCTGCCAGATCCTCTGACAGGTGCTGGGAGGTTCGAGGAGAAAAGCAGGTCAGTAGATCTGTGCAGGCCCAGGCTTGCCTCTGCCTGAAGACTCCCCCCACCTCTCTGCATGCAGGTACGCAATACACTCTGGTTTCTCTTCAGATAGCAGACATTTTTCGCCTTCTACTAAAGCTGTCCGTGGAGAGGAACAGTTATACGTTAAATTTCAAAACCGGGTGCCATTCAATTCACAGAAGTCCCCGAGGGGCTGCTGTTCCTTGAGGTCCGTTTCTTGTGCTCAGGCTGCAAAGACGGCAACGCTTGGTTTGAGCTGGTGCCTTGCTACCGAATACATTTCTAAAGGCCTAATCCTTAAATCAGTGCCATCCAATCCTAGCCTGCCTCCTTTGCTGATCTGGTCGGTCTCTAGGTGGGTCCGGCCCAGCTTCCCGCTTCCTTTGCTGCTCCTCTCGCCTCTCCGCCCGCTTCTGCACTGGCCCCGGGACTAGAGTTGGACGGAGACGGGCAGGGACTTGAGCCTTCGGGCTGAGCCCCCGCACGTCAGGACTCCGCTGACTTCTGTGGATATTAACAACCGGCTGCTTCAGCGACCTCCAAAGCGGCAGCCCTGCCCGGGCGCGCTCCCGCC